TGATAATTTTCTGGCGAAACGCAGAATCCTGATTTTGGTCTCAAACTAACAAGAATTCTTCCTATAACAAAGCCAATAATTGTCGGAATGTAGAATGTGATATAGCGTTGAATTCGTAATTAAAATTCCAATCAAACTGTGTCCCCACCTCAAAATGTCAAATTTTTGTTGATTTTCTCAAATTTTGATGATGTTACCCCTTGTCGATGTTGCGAATCTTGGTTTCTCCCTATTTCTCTCCCAAAAGGACAGTATTCTCCTCATTACTAAGCCAATAATGGTCCAAATATGGAATGCAATACCTCGTCGAGTTTGTTTTCGAATTTCCAACAAAACTGTATACCCACCTTGAAAAGTGATATTTTTGCTATTTTTCATAACTTTTGATGATGTTACCCCTTATCGAAAGTGTGATATTTGGCTTCTCCCCATTTCCCCTAAACATTGGTAGTATTCTTCTCATAACTAAGGCAATAATGGTCCAAACTTGGAATGTAATACCTCATTGAGCTCGTATTTTGATTTCCAACAAAACTGTGTCCCCACCTTGAAACGTGGAAATCTTTCCAGTTTTCTCAAATTTTGATGATGTTACCTTATAGAAAATCCAAAAAATTGTTAAAAATTTAAATCCACAAAATCCTCAAACCAATGATGAGGAAAGTTTGTTCTGGTCGAAAGCTGCTCAAAACAGTCTTTACTTTAGCTGTGAGCCTTGTTTTGGCCAAGTTATAGGCATAAATCCGATCAGAAATAGTGCCATTTTCTGACGAAACTCAAAATCCTGATTTTAGCTCAAAAGTAATCAGAATTCTTCTCATTACAAAGCCAATAATTGTCGGAATATGGAATGTCATACATCGTTGGATTCGTTATTAAAAATCCAATCGAACTGTGTTCACAGTTTAAAATGCGAAATTTTTGCCATTCTTAGCAATTTTGATGATGTTAGCCCTTATCGCATATCCACAAATTGGTTAATCCCATTTCCCTTCTCAAGATTGCAGTATTTTGTCCATAATTAAGCCAAAAGTGGTCCAAACTTAAAATGTCATACATCAATGAAATCGTAATTAAAATTCCATTCGAACTGTGTTCCCACCTAAAAAAGTGAATTTTTAGACATTTTTCTCAAAAATGATGATGTTACCCCTTATCGAAAATGCGAAATTTGGTTAGACCCGATTTCCGCCTAAAAAAGGTTGTATTATGCCCATTACTAAGCCAATATTCGTCCAAACATGAAATGCCATACATCGTTTAGTTGGTTTTTGAGTTTCTATCAAATCAGCATTTAAAATCAGCAGTTCAAAAAGTAATTTTTTGTTGTATTTCCAAAAATTGCCGCTGCTGTCCCTTACGGAAAATGCAAAATTTGGCTATTTCCGATTTGTCCAAAAATGAACTGGCAATAAAATCTGCACCATACGCTGTCAGCTTGAAAATGAGGAACTACAAAGCTAATTTATGAAGTAATCCTAAGATTAAGTCGAGGATGAATTACCTCAGTTTAGAAGTGATAAAGCCATCAGCTAAACCATGGAGTTAAGCACCCGTTCATGGCGATGATCTAATCCTAATCTTCAGGCCTCATCCCTGGAGTTTTCTGCACCCCAATGGTTCCGCCATTAACATTACGCTGAGATCCAGAAGTGTCCTGCATTTAGACTGATGAATAGACCCATCGAACGGACTCAATTTCTCGTGGATCTCATTCACACGTTCTCATATTTCCTGTGCCCACTTGGCCGGGCAATTTAGTGGCCTCCACCTGCCCTGGCATTCTCGGCCCCATATCATATGTGATCGATTGAATAGACGGAGCCGCCCCATAATCTAGAGCCATCCTGATGATCGTGGCTCGTCATCATTATGCGGCCCATGGAGCTGCCATAACTTTCCATCAACAGTTTCAATTTCAATATAGCCCAGCCAGTCCCCCTAGAAGTCCCTCGGCCACTGTCAACGGTCGGGTAAAAGTAGCTAACTACCAGTTTTTCCTCCCTTTTCATTTCGTTTATGTTTCTTTTTCGATTCCCATGCCCTGCCAGGGGGTATGCCAAGTCCTTGCAACGGGCAAGTCTCATGTCGAACGAAGGAGGGTGTTCGAAATTCGCATTTTCTTGATGAATTTTTAGCAATTGTGTTTTCGCTGTTTTGCTGGGACTTTGAGGAGGATGAGCTGGGGACTCTTGGACACATCGCCTGGGGCAACAATTTCATTTTCACTCCCGAGGCACCAGCTTACGACGATGATTATGACGACGAGAGGACGATGATGATGAGCTTGCGGCGACCGCAGGCAAAAGTGTGCCCCAATTTAATTGAAAGCGGTTTTCGAGCGGCCTTGGCCACTCATTTTTTCTTCTCTTTTTTGTATTTTTTTGTATATATTTTTCCCTTTAACTTTTCGCAGTTTCATTTCGAGGTGTTGCCTTTAGCTGCAGCTTTATTGATTGAATTGACGAAATGGAAATTTGTCAATTCTCACCTGGCCATGTGAATAAATATTTGTGGTCGAGTTTGTGTGTGTGTGTGTGTGTGTGGAGTCTCAGACGGAATCTTTGCGGTTGACTTTCAGTTTTTGGTCTTTCGCTGGCCCAGGCAAGGTCAGAAAGTCTTTAAGATAAGGGGCCGAGTAAATACCCCCAGCGCAGCCAAGGGACAACAGCTCAATCGCATCCTTGCGGCCAAAGTGTTATCCTGCCTACAAGAATAACCTTTTAATTAAGCCATGACGATAAGCAGGCCGACCGACCGTTTGACTCTCTTCACGCGTGTTTGTCATATCGGAAATAAAGAAGAACCGGACTTATCGCCACGGTCCTCCATGAATGAACTCTCTCGGATCTTAGGAAGGAAAGGCAAGGGGAAGGGGTATCGCCTCATGAATGAAACTCGTTTGACATTTGGCAAACGATTAGATTGGACCGCAGCAAGTGCATTAGTTTTATCCAGCTGCACACGGGGCCGAGCCTACCTTCCTTTTGCTTTACTTTCTTACCTGCAGATACAATTGTATCTTTTCGTTTCGTTTTTTGTGCGGCTACACGCTACATGCTCGCGCTATCTTTATCGCACTTTTCCGTTGGGTTTCGGGTTCTGGGCTAGGTTCTTCTTCTCTTACTTTTACGATCTTACCGCCAACAAAGTCATTTCTGGTCCGGCAATTTCGCAGTGGCCCCAACCGATGTCATAAACTGCGGCCATTAAAACGAAATTTCAATTGCAGGCGAATCCAGCGGATCGCATCCCAAGGGGCCAGCAGGCCGCGAATTGAGCGATTAACTTGCACTTTCCCTGCTCCCAATCGAGATCTCTCCCTCTGTCGTTCTCCCAAACTATGCCTTAATTTGAGCTGGAAATATATCGGAAAAATAACCAAATAATCGGAGTGTATTTAATAACTTGCTTGGCTTTGTGGCGCCGCTTTTTATTGCAAGCCTAGTTGCAGTTTCGATCCGCTTTTATGTGGCCCCCTGGCTGAGCTCGCATTTCACGCCTTCCTGCGACCTTCGGCAATCAATTAAGGCTTTGATTAAAGAGCATAAAACTCTTGATTTGCCATGCCTTTAATTGAATTCGCTGAGATACCGAAAGCGGTCTGTTAAATACCCTGTTTACAAGCTGTCCGTAATCCACTTTTCCGTTGAGGGGCCAAGCGAAAGACTGAGGCGACGAACTCCGCTGGAAAACAGCTTGAGACGACTTTGTAGGCACTTCTCTGTGGCACAGCGGTGGCTCAGCTTGAACTAGGAAAGAGCTGGCGCCTTCAATTAAGCTCAAATCAGTTTGCTGATGAAGCTGCAAGATGGTTTCCCAAAACTTAAATTTAAAACCGCAGCAGGATATTCAAATGAGAAGGGCAAAACTCATACGAAACGGAAGCCACAAATGGCAGCGTGAAATTAGAGGGCGTCTAACGTGGAATTAGCAGCTCGTTTCGTTCGCCGGATTTATTGCATTTGAATAACTCAAATTATATGGCCAGACCGACTTTTATCTCAATATTTGTTTTGGCCAAAAGCCGAAGGGTCGCAAAATTTCTATAATTTGCATGGCCTGCTCTGCTGCTCTGAGTTTTGGGCTTTCTTATTTTTTTGGCTATGTAAATCATGCGGTCTTAACCGCAAATTAGCCACACGTACGATATTCTCGCGCGTTTCTCGTTTCTGGTTTCTCGTTAAGCCTTAACGCTGCCTTAATGTTAACCAATAAATATCAGACAGACTGGCGTGTTAATAGAGCAAGTGTTGTTTTGCTCACTTTTGGCGTTAAGTGCCTCGCACAGGCACAGGAGGCTTCTTCTTCTTCGAAGCCCTGTCCGTCCGTCCGTCTGTCCGTAATCACTAAGTAAATAAATGCTGCCTGCTCCTTATTCCTCTGTTTGTTTTTCGAAAGTTGGACAAAATGCCACGCCCCCGAAACTGGGGGCATAAATCATCGCCTGGATGTGGGGTGCCGTGAATAATCGCAGATGCACAGTGGAAAAAAAACCGATCTCGCCTAGCTCTATCGATAATTGTGACTCTTCAATCTTAATCTTGTTTTGTTTTTATGAGAAAATTTATATTTTGATGGAAAATCAGGAAAACTTTTCATTTAATGAGTCTTCTTTTGTGTTTTTTCCTGGCCTTAGGAAGTGAGATCCCAGAAGGGGGCCACACTTGTACTTATGTGTGAAATCCTCACCCTCGGAGGGAAGAGTTATCTTTAACGTGCTTATCACCTGTGAAAACCCTAAAAGTATGTTTGGATCTCAGTTACCTTTCCAATGACGCGATCAATCTATCTACCTCAAAGGTAAAACTCTTGCGTGTCGACTGTATGTAGCGCCACCTGTTGGTCGGCTTGCCATGTAAACTTCGCATGACGCCACCTATGAATAAGGCCTTCCCCTGCTCGATCTTCAGCCTGAGTGTCTTCAAACCTTGCTAAAGATCTTGCTTTTTTATACTTTCCGTGTTCTAAAGAGATCCAGAAATATCATCCTCTTTCTGTTTTTAAAAAAATGGTTTATTTATTCCTTGCTTAAAATACAAAACTAGGTGAAATTCTTGATTTGCCACTTGTGATCTTTGATCTTTGTAAAATAACCGCAGTTGCCGTGTGTTTTTTATGCGTCGTTTCTCATGAGTTTCTTTGTCTTTAAATAACCTATACAAGAAGCGAGTGAGTGAGAAGATACCCGTGTACCATTCAGGGGCTGAGTTAGCCCTGGTGCTGGTGGTGCCACCAGCCAGACTGGCGGGCATTCACGTAGTTCTTCAGGCCATCCGGATGTCCACTCGATGGGGCTGGCTGGTGGGTGGGAAAGAGATGGGGACCGCCACTGGTCTCGTAGTTAATGCCATTGTGCTGGTTGAAGATGTAGGCCTTAGGCACCTCCACTCCGGCTGGGCCCACTGTGTTCGTGGAGACGCTGATGCTGGAGACCACATTGCCCGGATTGGCAGGCAAATAGGTGCGACTCGGAGGCGGTGGCGATGACACCCAGTTGGTCTGCGGCTTCTGTGGAAGAATGGGGCGATACTGCTTGGTGTACAAGGGAGGGCCAATGGGCAAGGCGGGCTGCTTGGGGATGGAAACGGCATTCGGGGGTCCATAGGCATTGTTCCTCAGATCGCACACGGTATTCTCGATCAGAGTGGTCAGGGGAGCCGTGTAGATGCGGAAGTTGACATCGGAATAGTCCAGGTCGGAGAGTAGGAAGACGGGCATCCTGTCGGACAGAACCCAGACATTCTTGTTCTCATCGATCTTGACATCGGCCGGGAAGACCAAGCCCACATCATCGCGATCCACAATGCCGTGGAACTGCGGGGTGTACGGCATCGACGAGTGCCAGCATCCCACGGCATTTTGGTCGATCAAATTGAAGAGCTCAACGCCGTCGTCGCTCATTACTCGCGAGGTGGTATGGGCATTGGGACCACGTTCGTCCAGGGCGATGAAGTCATGGTAGCTGTCCTCCGTCCTAGTCTCATCCCTTAGGATCCTTGTGGAGACGGCGAACTGACGATGACTGGCCAGGGGACTGAAGTACAGGGTGCGATAGCCATCCGAACGAATGGGCGAAAGGGACATGCCAAAGATACCCTCCTCACCCCACTGGAAGTTGATTCCGGCCACGTTGAAATCGCCCCTCAACGGGTCTGGGAAGAAGTACGAATGGGCCGAGAACCTCCAGGACTTGTTCTGCTCCCAGGAGTAGGTGATCAGGCCATAGCCCAGCTCATCGGCGAAGTAGGCAAAGGCATCGTCGCAGTTCTTGCCAATGTCCACGGCAATATTCGCGATGAAGGTATTCGGATTGGTGTCCACTCCAGGAAGTTCGTACCTTCGGATCCTGGTGTCGGTGGCCAGGTCGAAGACATTGACGGCGTAGGGGCAGGGATTTCTGGTGGTGTTGCCGATGCCCACGGTGCCCGTGTCCAGGACCCACAAGCGACCGCACTCGTCGACCTTGATGCGATAGGCGGTGGTTATGCTGTTGGCGCAGTCTCCGGCGGTATTGGCACGCCAGTCTGGGTAGGGAATGAGCTCCGGGGAGCCCGTCAAGCTGCGGTCCATGTTGATGTAGGTGAGAGTGGCCGGAATGCCTGGGGAAATTCGGGATATCAAAAGAGTTATTCAGAGTTTAGTTTGGGGATGCGGATTTCTGCTAGCCAATCTACTTAGTGCCGGAAATGGTTCCTTACTAAAAGAAGCTAATAAAAACGTTGTCTTGTCTTCGGCAGATGATGATCTCTTGGAAGATAAAACAAATCGTTAAGGTGTTGGCTCAGACGATATGCTAAACTTAGCATCAATTAACTAAGCACTAACGACGCTTTAATGGTACGACGCTCTGGAAGTGGACAACTTCTGGAAGTTCTAGGTTCGCAGAGCGATGGCGCGACCGCTTGGGCAAACCTGAGTCATAAATTAGCTCATAAAGTGGCACTGTTGCAAGTTGCGTGCAATTTCCGATGTCATTAGCCGGCAGCAGCAGCAACTGAAGCAACTCGCTCTGACATCATCACCAATATATAAACGATATCTTAGCTCTGATGTATGTACATACTCTGCCAACGCCATCGTCATCGGCATCGGCATCGGCAGAGTTTCCGCTCCAGTTGCTTCTCTTCAATATCGCTTGGTTAATTGAATTGCCGGGCATTTTCTGGTTTCGGTTTCTGTATAGGTTTTTCTCTTTCCAAGCGACATTTCCACGCCGCCCCCTATGCAGAGTGGCCCGCCCCATTCGATCCGCCTATTAATCAGCGATTAAGCGATATATTTGACAGCCGATTTTCCGCCCCATCGTCGCCTTTTAATTTGTGAGTGTGTTAAGATAAATCAGACTACTAATTAGTTTGGGGAAATTGATGGTTGTCTCAGGCAAAAGGAAGATGAGGAATCTCTCAGTGATTACTGATCAATATCTCAACTGTTTCGTGGACTTAAACTAGTCAGATGACTAGACTTTACTTGCAAGTTTGTTTGATTCTAATCTGTAAGTCTTATTGCCAGTCTCCGCCCCCTGCAAGTCGGCCATTTTTTGCTATCTCATTTGTGATTGAGATAAGCCTGCGTCTCGGAATGGGCCACACAGATCGAGCGGTTAATGCGTCCACGTCTGCGACCACGACCACGACCAGTCAATGGATCAGTGAATCAAGTGGCTTGAGTGGCTAAATGACCAGTGGCTGCTGACTGCTGGCTGCTGGCTGGTGGCTGCTGTCTGCTGGTTCAATGGCTGATGGCCTAATGAATCTGTATGAAACACGAGCTGTTGGCTCGTTATCCGGCCAATTAATGTTGCCAATTCTCGGTTTCAGTTTCATTTTCAGTTTCGGTTTCAGTTTCTGTTTCTGTTTCTCGATCGCATTCTCATTTCAATTTCAATATTGATTTCTCAGACTCGGATTCGATTTCAATTTGTAATCCTGTCGCTTAGCCCATTACTTATGTGGGAATTACAGAGCCGCATTACGGCAATAACTGTCGGTTTGTTTTGAGTTCGGAACTGACGTGGAGGACTGATTATCTAATGGACTTTGCCGGAATTAGCCAAATAAGAGCCATTAATCAAAACCATAACTGTCAACTTCAGGTGTCTTTTGAGAGCTGTTGTTGCCACCGCCGATTTGCTCTGACTAATTGATTTGCTTCGATGGCCATTGAAGCGTGCCTCAGAGTGCCTCCACTTTGCCGCAACTTTCACGAACTTTTGTTTGCCCAAGCTCGGCCTTCTGGGTTTTGTATTTCTGTGACTTGCGCCGGGCATTCTGTTTTGCTTTTTTTGTCTGTACTTTGAGACCTTCAAGGCTGGGCCAGAATATGCCAAATCCATCCCCATCCCCCCCTTTAAGTTAATTAATATTTCTTGTGATTCCTAATCCCCAGGTAAGACAGTGGCTGACTCCCCAAAACAAACTCGAAAAAGGTTTGCAAACAGTGAAACAGTCTGCGCCGCAGAACAAAGCCATTGTGCAACTCTCACTTCGATCGGACAGAAAGCTAATCATTGGTTAATGGCATAATGCCCATAATAAGTTATTGTCTGTGATTGGATTTCCATTTCCATTTCTGTGCGGCGACCCTGAAGAAGCCTTCACAATTCGGATGGTCATATAATACCATATAATGCCTTAACCCATGCCCAATGCCGCGCTATTGGCTCCGATTTTACAACGGTTAATTGTTTAAAGTTTTCAAATGTAAATCCAACACGCAAGTATCAACCGGATCCGTAAGAGGTCGGTCGACGAGCTAGCAAATCACTTTCCTGGAACTAATCGATGGGGGTTCTGGGCAGTCAAAGGGTTAAACTAGTGGAAGTTTTGGAAGTTTTTGAGGCGAAAAATCTTTGTTTTTCCCGCCCAAAGATGGTGGAGTTCCCCAATTCTACAAAATCAAAACCATTTTTTTGTTCACTTTTTGAAATTTTTACCCCATAGTATCATAGTATCACTGAAAATCGATACATTCTTGCCACCATCACGAGTACATTTTTCATGGCACCTATCGGCGCTCCAAAGGACGGACTGCCCACTTGCCCCACCGCACAACCTGAATTGATCAATCAAGCCAAAAGCGAACTGTCAACAACCGCTGGCAATTCCTCAATCACTCAGATTCCGACCCAATTTGTAAGTGCTAATGATGCCCAAACTTAGCCACGGCACGCTTGCAATCTGCATGCAATCTCCATGTGGAGATCCCCGATCCCCCGCCCGATCACCCCCATCCCACCCACTTACCATCTCGCCAACGGGGGACGGTGACGAAGAGACGATTGCCAAAGTGCTCGACGCCAACGGGTAGGCCGTTCTGGGGAATGTAATCACCGCTGGCCAGAGCCTGCTCCTTGAGCTGGTTGTTCGGGAAGGCGAAGTCCAGTTGGTTCCAGCTGTAGCGCTCCTGGAGCTTATAGGCCGCCCACGAGGGAGTCGCCACCAGCAGGGTGACCGCTGCCACCAGGATCCATCCTTTGGTTCGGAACATGGCACTAGACTCTTGGTCAACGAACACACCAAACACACTTGGCCAAATGGGTGGATGGCAAACAAAAAAAAAACAAAGAAACGAAAAGGCTTTTAAGTTCTTCTGCGGAGGTTCTTTAGTCCCGATCTGGGGGATATCTCTCTTTAATCCTCTTCTGTGGACCGTGGCGCGCTTACGACTGTTGGCCGGAATATGTCGGCTACGTTTTATATGAGGTTTTTTTTCTCCGAAGACGCGGGCAGGCCAATGAAAACGAAAACGAAAACGAAAACGAACTTCGGTGGTTTCAGCGGTTCGGGTGGCGGTTCAGTGGTCGGTCGATTCGGTGGTCGGTTGGTCTATGCGGTTCCCATGGATCGGCCAAGTTAAGGCATTTCAGTGCGTGGCTTTTGTCCGTCATGATTGATTTTCACGCATGTTTAATAAATTCGAGCCCCCGAAACTCAGCTAAAAAGCTGCCTTTCGCCGGGCTTGCAATTTTTCTTATTAACTCTTTCAAGTACTCCGAGTTCTCTATACTACCTTCTGGCCTTCATCGAGCTGTAAGGCTGTGAGGGCTGGAGTGCAATTTGCTTATAAAATATCGATGAACATAAATCAAATGGGGGAGTATCTTTCTGCCTAAGGCAGAATCTGCTTAAGGGGGAGGACATTTCCAAGCACACTTTTGGGCTGAGTTGGGGGCTGCGTCGTAAACTTCTTGTTTGGAAATATTTTAAGGCTTTCGGGCCTAATGTCTCCGTGGAATGTCTCGTTACTCTCAATGGCCGCCTGATTATTTGGCTTAATTTACATTAATGGGAATGGGAATTGGCCAGAGCACTTACTTCTGCATTAGTTTAGCTAGTTTATATGCAAATAGGCAGGGCATTAAGGCTTAACGATGTTAATATAATAATATTTATCACATTTGTAGAGTATTCGGATCAGGTATTTCTTGTCCGGTTCCATAAATCTGAATTACTTGGGCTCGTTTCGACGATTGCCTTAGCTTGAATTTCGATTGGGCCGTTCCGATGATTCACACTTTGGCGAGGGTCAAACTGTTGGTTTCCGCTAATTATGAACAGGTGATTTTTTAGCATAAACTTAGGTACTTGGCTAGATATATAGATACAAGTTGAGAGAGAGAGAGTGAGAGTTACATAACTGCCAGCACTAACTGGACGTAATTTGGCGTAATATTGCGGTCCCTGTGGACCACCTGGACTTTTCGGGGGAGCCCTAATGAATGGGTAATGCTCTAATGGCCATCGCCGCAAGCGTATGCGAAAACTGCAACTGCAACTGCAACTGCGACTCGCATAACTCTTGCACCTGGCCAGCCAGAAATAAGGTAATCCAACTCTAGCCACACGCATAATGAACGAGCTGAAACCTCGTAGCTAAAGATACGTTTTACGAGCTCCACTGAAGAAGTGGTTAGCATTAATCTGCGAACTAAACTCGAAGTAAGGAAAGCATTAGAAGGTAAAGTTGGGATTTCTAGGATATCAGAAAGGAGATTTTACTCCGTTCTTCTCTGAGTTCCTACTCAGAATCTACTTAGAATGTTCTTTAGTGGTTCTCCATTTTGCCACAGCCCAAATCTATTCTAATTTCATGCAAAATATTTGCCATTCGGCTGCCCCTTGGCCGCATTCTGAGCCCTGGCCTGGCTGCTGCGGCTGCTCACCCACAGATCAGTAAGCGGACCGAAAAATATGTTGCACATAATTACGGCTAATGCTGGCTGAATTTATTGCGATCGGCAGGTCCATAAAAAGCCATACTTAAAATAACCAGTACGCTTTTATTAATTAATTGTGTGTGCGTTGCATAACGAGACCAGAGACCAGAGACCAGAGACCAGGCACTGGCAAGGCAATTAATGATGCGATCGCCAGCAGTGGCAGTGGCAGCCGTTGAACCTACAATTTAAATCGAATTGGCTCGTTTTTGTCTGTCTGTTTTGTCGTGTGGGATGCTGCGATGCATGTTTTGGTTTGTTTTGGGTTACAGTTTTCAGTTGCAGTTTTCACAGTTTTCACAGTTTTCGCTGTTTTCGCAGTTCAACGCTGGCAGCGATGATTTATACGCGCTTTTCTCAATAATTGAAACAAGTTATCTGCCGCGGCAAGAGAAGCAAACGAAACTAAAGACAACGAAGCCAAACAACATTATCAAATGGCTAAGTGGCCAGCCAAAGTGGCCAAAAACAAAAACGGATATTTGTGGCATAATTGACAAGTGATTATGCAACCAGCAGAGGCAGAGGCAGAGGCATAGGCAGAGGCAACATTAGACATTATTTACACACAGGATAACTCGAAGTTGGGCGGAAAATAAAACCAAATACCGAATGACATTGCCCGGCCCGTGTTTCATGTTTTGTTTTTCGTTTTCCTTTTCTTCCACTTATGGCAGGCCGCCTGCTTCCACATATCCCCCCCCTCCCCACTTGGCTTTCCATCTTCGATCCATTTGGAAAATGGCATGGAAAACCTGTTGCTCAACCGCTCTAACCTTAGTCGCGTACAGCTTTTCCATTCGTCTTGCTCGATGTTTGTCAGAGTTTTCAAGTTCAATGTCCATGGCCCTGACCGGCCCCCGGACCCCCTCTTTGGCGTACTTCTCTGCCGGATTTATTTGTCTTGGCCAAAATCGGACAGGCCGCAGCAGAGATTTCCTGCTCGCAGGCACCCATCGCAGATGTCCCCGTCTGACATGCACTGCGAGAAAAGCTATCTATGAAGTATTAGCATTCCGAAATTGCATCTTTTGGAGATAAGAGATTCCACTTTGTCAACTGAAATTCTAGGCTAGCCACCAAGGAATCTTGTAAATTGATTTAAGCCAAAAGTGGAAAACATTTAGATCTTTCCTTAAATGAGTTTTAGCTCAGATTAGCCCATTCTTAGTCCTCAAATGGAGTAATTAGATGCCGGCAAAGGCTCTGCCTGCTTGCCGTTTGCAAAACTAAGCAAATAAGACCAAAAGTTTCCGTAATTTGATTTCTGTGTAAGCTTTAGCTCGCTTGCCACATTGCCAAAGACATAATTTGCCTGCTGTGGCACGCTGCACGGTGCACAAGCGGAAAGATCAACTCAAAAAGAGCTTAGGGGAGTGCATAAATCAGCGGGCTGCATTCGAAATTGATTAGCAACTCGTCGGCGGGGCGACTTGGCTATCTTAAGCCATCGCCGGTTGCATTTCTTATGGGTCTTTAAGCCACTCAGTGCGGTAATCGGGCGATAATCGATTAATAATCGCCCGATCTCGTCAAGGCGAACATTTCCATTAGTCCCCGAATGAGCCAATGGGAATGATATACATCTCCCAAGTCAACTGGTTCCGTTCATCATCCAGTTCCGCCGCATAAATCCGTGTAAAGTGTCCAACCTCGTTGGCCAGCAGTCAAAACACTTATTGGCCGCCATCAGCGTGGCTTTCGATATTAATAAAAGTAAATGGAAAACAAGCATAGAGCAGCCACTTACTTAATCTGGGTTTATTATTTTAAATAAATTCCGTTAAAAGGGGTATAAAAGTGGCCATTAAATAAATCAGACTCTTTATGAATTCATTTCGAAATTCTGTTTAAAAGTGGCAAGCCTAGAGCGGGGGAGGTTTCCCTGATACCTAATAATTCTTAGTAGAACCCTTTAAGGCCTTAACTTAACTTTAATGAAAACCAAAAGTTTAGATTAAGGCAGAATGATAAATATTTATTATTACAAAACAAAAAAACAAAGAAAGAAAGAAAGAATGTCGAGAACTTTCTAGTTCCACCACCATGGAGGGGATGGGGTGACGTAGTTGGCCACATTGAGGTAGTCCTGCTGGACGTCATCCGGCACAGAGTCAGCCGACTCCGAGTCACCGATGAGGGATTCATCAGCCTCGCTGTCCTCCAAGGGCTGGGCACTAGCCAGGGAACCCATTAGGGCCAAGATGAGGACCAGGCCAAGGATCAGTTGATGGAAGAGCTTCATGTTTGGAATACTTGGGACGGGGACTTGTGGGTTTGATGGAGAAAGTGATCTGCGGCTGCTTTATATAGTCAAATCGGAACCATTGGGAACTAGGGCTCAGGTGTTTTGCCGGTTATTTTCCGGCCAGCCTTGTTTGTCTTTTCACATGTCTAGAAAAAAAAATGCCAAAACAAGATAACTGGGCTATATTTGCTCATAGCTTTTGGCACGAGCTCTATTGAGCTGGTCAGGGTTGCTTTTTTTTATCTCTCCTCCTAACAAATATTTTACGTTTTTTGCCTGTTTGCCCGTTTTGCTTTTCTGCTTTTCTGCTTTTGAGCTACTGATATTGAGACGTGCGTGCGTGCATGCTGGTGGAGTATCGTTTATTGATTTCCTGGTGAAAAGCTGTTGTTGCTGCTGCCACTGTCGCTTCGGCTGCCAATTAACTTGCTAAAGAGCTGCATTGCTGCCCCATGTTGCAACATTGAAAACGTCACAGCCATGTCGCCCGCTGTCCAGTTTTGGCACTCGCCTTGCTGCAATTAGTTTTCAATTAAAAACTATTTAAATCGCAACGGACGGCCAAGCGGCTTCCTTCTGCTAAATGGCATCATTAGTCACTAGCGCCAAGCTCTTCTGGAAAGATAGCAGCCAAAACTGGCCAAGATGGCACTTCCTCAAACGGAAGCTGAGCTGCAGATATAAACGTGATTTTATCTTCATAATTAGCCAATCATTCGGAATGGGTTTTAATTTGAGTTCAGTTTGATTTGGGAAATCAAAATCAGAATCCAAATCATCAGCAGTGAAAGGGTTCCAGCTGTCTGTCAGCGGGTGCAGGTTGGCTAATCTACATATCGATATATTTTGCCTGAAACGATGAACAATTTTCGATCACACCCCGCTGGCTTTTCGAGCGTAATTAGTTTGTAATTTTTTGTGTTCTTTTTGGCAATGTGAAGGACCGAGCTGGTAGACCCAAATTGTAAGCCTCTAATTATGCATAAAAACTGTGCCTTTGTCTTGGCCAATTAAATTATTTAGCGATAGGCAGCAGCAGCAACAACAACAACAACAACAACAACAACAAAAACATATTAAATTAATTATCAACTGAAGCTGAACCGAGCGAAGCGGCGGACTAAGCTGATGTTTGAACAACTGCTAAACGGAGTTCTAAGTGGGGTGGTGTTTTTCTTCTGAGTGGAACAGCCAGCTGGATGGGTAGGTTTTGGCCAAGCCAAAACGAGCGCCCTTGGGTTCTTGCCACGCTCTGCTTCCTCTGCTGCCTTTTGACGACACGCCGCCGGCCCGAAAGTGAACTGCACAGAGAGAAAAGTTCTCTTCGATTCTTCGAATTTTGAATTTGAGTTTTTGCCTTCTGGCCAAGTCAGCTATTGAGCTTAGCTAGGAAATAAGCGTGGCCCGCAATAAGAGAAGCCGCGAGTTCCGCTTTGGCTTTTCGATTGCCTATTTTGGGGGCGATTACGCATACGCCCCGGTGTCAAGGCTAGCAATGATTTGCTACAAAAATGTAGGCAGACTCGCAATGAATGTACTTCCACTTTTCAAATCAATTGTATGCCAAAAAAAAGAGGGTCTGTCGAAGCTGAATATACCCTTTAATATAGCTTAGAATAGAAACTGATCGATTCTTGCATACCCAGTGATCTGCTTACTCCAAAGATCAGCTTTTTCTTGGGAAATCTTATAAAGTTAAGACTAAATTTTAGCCCTTAATGTTGAAATTAAATAGGTATTTGCCCGTTAAGATAATGCCGCATTAACTTCTCGTAGAAAAGGGTATCGCAAATTGGCAAGCAAATATCAGAGTGACCCACCACGCCCGTTTGGTGTCGTTTTTTTCTCTCTTTTTTTGGCCCTCCAGCCACAAGGCTGAAACGGTTTCGATTCCGTTAGCGATACTGCAATGCATCAGCCATCAGCCGAGCAATCAATCAATGCTAACATTTCACTTTGCGATCGAATTGGATCGAATCAAAGCAAACAAATTGGGCCACAAAGCACGGCCAAAATCGCCGATCATTACCCAAGTTCCGATCGGAACCGGTTCGCGCTGTGACCTAACTAGCTCGCTGGTTACCAAATCGTTAATCCAACACCTCTGGATTTTAACTCCAGTTAAGTTTGCCCGATTCGCTGGGCAAAAGTTTTGGCCGAAAAGCTGTTGGTTAAAGTCTCGGAGCCCAAGCCGAAAGCTCAGGATTGTGTATTGGCAGCAATGGCTGGGTGAATGTCTTGAGAAATGTACATATTAGTGTAGACTAAAGGTAAACTAAGTTAATTACTAAAAAAAAAGTACTTAAGGAGGTAAAGAGTGGGTTAGTCCCTCGCTTAGTTGTACCACCAAGGTGCTGGGGTGGGCGGGTAGTTGTCCACATTCAAGTAATCCGGGTTGGCAGCGGGCAGGGAAACGGAACCGGTGGTAGTGGGCCACCCTCGAGCTTCGACGCTGTCGCGTTCTTGGGGATCTGGAAGAGTTCTGGAGAGTCGATTCCATCTCAAGCGTTTGCTATTGGGTCGCTGCATAACGAACGAAGTCGTAGGGGCTTCCACATTTTTCAGGACCCGCTGACGTTCCAGTTCGTTAAGGGCCTCCAAAATGAGGCTCAACTTCTGGCTGTCCCCCTTGGAAAGGGGGGAAGATACTCTGGCATGGCCACTCTGAACTCTGGTTGGGAGGAGGACAGCCACCAAGGTGGCCACCATGAGAACAAGCCACTGTCTCGACATGATGCTGCACTGGATCTAAAGTGCTCTTAGCGGGCTATCAGCACATTTATAGCCCGTCTATGATAAGGTACACAAGTGTTAATGTTGCATCGACTTCTCTTGACATCGTTCGGTTCTGTTTGGAGAACTCCAAGCGCCTTACGTAACGCTGGGTAAATGTTTGGCCAACATACTGAGCCATGCAAAGAGCCATCAAGGTTAAGTTCAGCCCTGGGGTAGGGCTCGTAGTTCGTAGTCATTAAAAGGCCTCTCGTTAGAGTTTTCATGTTTTACCTTTCGTTTTTATTCGATATATAATTAAAAGTCGTTTTTTGTTCATAAGTGTATCTCAGAAAAAAAATATAATAATAAAAGTATCTGCTAAGCACGCGTCGATTTGGAGGCGTGTTCAGTGGAAAGAGGAAAGTGGAAAGAGGAGGGGGCAAGGTCGGGTATATAGGTGTATATATAGTAGGGGAGGACGGGGAGGACTGGGGATGGATCGGCTTCGGGGATTGGTGCTTAGTGGTCTACGAGTGGCTTGGATCTCCTCGTTCGTGGGCTCGCTCCGTGTGTTCCGTTTTGGTGACTTTCTCTTCGCGCAAGGAGGGATCTTACTTACATAGTATGTCCGCGTCTATCAGTAGATTAATTAGTGTAATATGTGTACAAAGCTAACGAGTCCTTGGTGGAGGAGCAGAAGGAGGAGGAGGAGGAGGAGGCGGCGGAGGAGGAGACTTAAAGGACAAACAATTTGTAAGAGTTAGTATCGCTTGTGTGGTGGCCAAGACATCATCCCAGCTTATGGGAGGATGCAGCAGCGAATCGTGACGAGTATTCTATTCAGGATTCAAAGGAGGCGGATGGCGATGTGTGGGTGGTGTGGAGTGGAGTGGACTGGACTGGACTGGACTGGAGTGGAGTGGCTTTACAGGATCGTGCCGGGCTTGCGGAGCGGCAGGCGACGACGCTGTCCCAAGAGTCCCAGTCCACGGGCCTGCTGTTTCGTGGTTGCCTCCGTCGCCTCTGTGGTATCCTGCTCCTGCTTGGCGGCTCCCTCGGCGCCGGACTCGTCGCTGGCGCCGGCGGACGCCTCCTCCTTGGCTGGCTGTTCCGCGGAAGAGTCGGCCGATGAGTGCTCCTCCTCAGCGGGGGATTCTAAAAGGGGAGAGTCCGATAGAAGATTAGGAACTAAGTCAAAGAAGAAATGAGAATCTCAAGAAGAATCACCTGTGGTGGAGGTGGCGGCTCCCAGGTGGAGTCGTCGCTTGGCCAGCAGGGGATTGATCTTCCTGGGCGCAGGGGTGGGGGCTGCGGCTGCCTTGGGCTTAACCGCATCAGTCTTGTGCGTTAGGGCGTTGAGGCGTGGCCGGGTCTTGAGGCGATTCAGCCCGGAAACGGGAGACGCAGGCGCGGAATCGGCAGCCTCGTTGGCTTTTTCGCCGGACTCGCCGCCAGCTGTCTCCTCCTCCTTGACGTCGTTGTGATGGCTACTACTATCGGCGGCGGAATCCTCGGCGGGTGTTGCCTCTTTGGGTGCCTCCGTGCTGATTCCTGAGCGGCCCAGTTTTCCGCGTGGCAGCAGGCGGTTGCCGCCGGCGCGGTGCAGGTTGAAGCGGGACGGACGCACTGGTTCCGCAGGAGCTGGTGCTGCGGACTTGGCCTCCTCGGAACTGGCGGTGGCACCACTCTCAGCCGCCTCACTGCCCTCGGCGTTAGCGGGTGCCTTGGTGGTGGTGGTGCGACTGCGACCGCGCAGTGCCAAGCCGGGACGTCCTCTCAGTGTGCTCCTTGCTGTGGTTGAAGAGGGGGTGGCAGAATCAGCGGGAGCGTCGCCCTCTGCGGGTGATTCCTCGCTGGGACGTTCGGTGGTGCTAGTGGTGGTGGATCCACGCAGGTTGAAGCGGTTGCGAGCTGTAAAATGAGAGGGAGCAGAGATGATTTCCAAGTTTTTCATAGCTGGGAACATGTCTTAAGCTAGCTTAAGTCCTTGGCCCTAGTCCTTGGAAGGCATATTAAATCATAATCTGATCCCGAGTGGCTGACCTCGCTGATTGCTTTCACTGCGCAAGAAACCCGAGACTAAAAGTGATTTCAATTCACTTTCCCAAAGGCCTGAAGCTTTGCTCTTGACCCAGTTAGCGGAGTCAGTGGCCGAAGGTTGCTGAAGGTGAAATGCTAATAACCGATCAATCAGATGCATTATCTAAGCCAAGTCCGATCTGATCAGCTGTAACTCTGCCCGATAAGTAGGTGTCGAAATGGCAACGAAAAGCTTCTTTCGTTGAAAACGAACACAAAATTTACAATGTAAATATTATTCATGGCTCTGTCTTTGAATGCCTTGAATTAGGCAAATGAAGTTTTAATTTATTTGAAAAACTGGAAGCTTGCCTATCTATCAGATACTTACGTCTGCCGCGGGCGAAGCCCGTGCTGACCGGCTTGACTTCCTTGGCAACCACCGCTTCCTCCTCGGCGGCGGGGGCGGCCGCTGACGTGGCCTCTGGTGCAGCGGTGGTGCGCGCTCCAGGACGAGAACGGCCTCCGATCGAGGGACGCGAGAAGCGATCTTTTTGGGGGGTACAAAAAGAAGATTTTATAGGAAAATATTTCATGAATTCAGCAGGGCAGACGACTTACTTCTTCCCGTTTTGGTGGTTTCGCTGGCCGGGGCCTCGGTGGTGCTGGTGGTGGTGCTGCCGCCCTCGGCTCTGTTCAGCTTGAAGCGATTGCGTCCGGCCAGGCCATTCAGACCGGCTCTCCTGCCTCCGAAGAGGGAAGGAGCCGCCGTGGTTGTGGTCGTCGTTGTGGTGGTGGTTGGTGCCTCCGTGGTAGTGGTGGTGGTGGTGGTGGTAGTGGTTGTGGTGGTGGTGCTGCTAGTGGAGGAGATCTCATCGATCAGCGTGGTCAGGCCGCCGGCCTCATCCTCGTCCGTGCTGCCGGTTTCGGGGGCAAACGTGGTGACACCCTCGGATAGTTCCGATTCCGGAACCGTGGTGGTCTGCTCGTTGTTCAGGTTCTCGTTGGTCAAGATGGCGTACAGATCGAGGGCGGCCTTCTCCATGGAGGGCGTGGTCTGCTCGGATTCCTCCTGATCGGCTGGAACTTCGGTGTCCTTCTCCTTCTTGGACGCCTGCTCCTCCTTGGCCTGTTGCTCCTTCTTCCTGGCCGCCTCCTCCTGCTCAATAGCAATCACGGGTTTCAGCTCATTCTCTCCCTTGCGCGTCGCCTTGGTCTGCTTTTCGTCGGTGTTGAAGGTGGCACTGTCCACCAGTTCCAAGCTGGGACGCTTGACGCTGATCTTCTTGCGCTCGGCGGCAGTTTCCAGGGAGTCCAAGGCGGGCGTTGGTGGCACCTCAATGTTCTTGCCACGGCTGGGGAAACGTGTGATCATGGGCAGACGCTCGGCTTCGATGTCTTCGGAGGCATCCGAGGATCTTCCCTTGGCCTTGCCACTCTGCAGGCTGTTCTCACTGGGAGTGGCTGTCGTGCTCCTCTCGATATTGGTATACCTGGTCTTGCCACGCGTCTCGGGCTCTGCCGCTGCCTCAGCCTTGCTCGGCTCCTCATCCTCCTCGTAGTAGTAGACATACTCGTACTCGTAGTCCTGGCCATTGGGTCCCTTTTTGATCTCAATGCGGGATTTCTTGTTGTTCTCACTGCCCGCTCCCTCCAGGGCAAAGTTCTGGTTGACGAACTCCTCGTGGGGGTCAACAACGATGTCCTCGTCCAGGTTGTCGATCTTCTTGGCAGCCGTGGGCAGGGTGGTCAGCAGTGGAGCAGGTGCCTCCGTGGTGGTGCCCTTCTTCTGGGCCAATTCGGCCTGGGCGGCCTCCTCAATTTCACGCCTCACTTCGGCCAGCTCCTCCTCTTCGATGGCCCTCTTGGCCTCGATGCTCTTCATCACATCCTCGTTGATGAGGGCACTCAAAATGGGATTCAGTTCTGGGCGCTCTTTGGTGGGCAGCAGGTTCATCGAGTAGTCGGCGGGATCTGTGGCCCTTATGCTGATCTTGTGGGATGTATGGAAGCCCTCCTCCCGCTCCACGGCATCGGGATGTTTGTGCGAGGTCTCGAACGGGATCGTCGGAGCTGGACTCTCGCTGGCAGACTTCGAAAGGGGATCCACTGACTCTGCCGCGGATCGAGAGGCCAAGAAGGCTATTAGGAAGCTGCAGGAAGAAGATTAAAGAGGGGAGGGGTTATCAAGATGGCTATAAGTTTATCAACTTCTCTTAAGACTAATCTAAGCTGAGACTAATAAGCCTATTGCTCTCGCTCTGCTTGGCTTTAACCGCTTAAGTACTATCAGCTCCCCATCTTAATTTCTGGCTGGCTGCATTCAGCCATGTCTTAGCCAATTAATCTCTTACAAAAACTCTATTATCGCCTTCGGCTGCCTTTGCTTTATACCCTACCTACCTCGGGCACTCCTCGCTACTCGTAAAACTGTATCTGCCAACTGGCAAACTGCAAACTGCATTGCACTGCACTTTTGCAGGGTATTAAGCGGTTCGTGGAACGCCGTTTGGCCTTTCTTTCTGGTTTCTAATCGGCGCGTGCTCCTAATCAGCCACCATGGCTAGCCGGTTTTCAGTTGGCTTTTCAGCTTTTCAGCCTTTTCAGCGTTTTCAGCCATTTCAGCTCCAGCTGGCGGTCTCCGATGTGCTGCCTCATCTCCAATCTGGCATAAAAAACCTTTCACAATTTCATTAGCCACACAAAGTCGATTGCGCATGCGATCATGATTTGGCCATCATGTCTAGCCGCCGAATGGAGCGTGCAACACCGGCTGTATAGCAGCCACCGGCACCACCGCCACCGCCACACAATAGTTCATTGGGCTCTGCGAATCCGCAAGCCGCAAAACGGTTCCAAAACGACCGGGAAACTAGAGCCAGGAATCGCCAACCGGTTTTCCACAACAAAGAAAACTGAAAAGGTGTTAACCCATTTCGACTCCAGACCAGATCAAACCAGATCCCAGCTGGAGGTCCCCAGTGCTGGGACTTTTAGTTTCAGCTCAAGAAAATTGAAAAGTGAACACGGAACGTAGTCAACTCATTCTGATCAGCGGCGATTTCTCGCAGTGCATGCGAACAGAGCGCTCTTGACGATAACTTTTAACATTTTGAATTATGTGCAAGTCTGGCTAGCTGGCTGGCTGGCTGGCTGGCTGGCTGGCTGGCGTTCACTTCTCGAACAAGTTTTCGGGGACCAGCAAGCGAACAGGCAACTTGGGCTGGCAACACCTTACTGCAAAGGTAGACAACTTCAACTTATTTTAATTGCAACAGCCCCAAAAACGGGCAGCCCAACAATGGCCAAAAGCCATAAGCCATAAGCCTGTGCGACTTCAAGAAAAGTTATAATTATGGCCACATCATGAAGCAGCAGCAGTAGCAGCAGCAGCAGCGGTGCAGTGCAGCAGCCAAAAGGGTCTCTCGGAGCGGTTGGGCCATGTTATGCATGAGGTGACAATGCGCACAGCCGCCTATACTATACTATATAGTATATAAGTTTACCGTTACCCACTTATAATTGCAGTAATCGCAGCTACCGAATCGGTCATTAATGCTATTAATAAGCCCAGGCAGAGAGACCCGATTCGAACTTAAGTGCCGTTCAATAGCTTAACTAACGAATTTGGACCATGGCCAGAGAGATATTAGAGGTGTGAATAGGCTAGGATCCATGGCGGCAGCCTTGATGGAAATTATCTGATTATTAACACTAAACTGAATCACTTCTCTGTAAGTTTTGGCCAATAACGCTGACTGCTGACTGGTGGCTGTTTTATGGCTAATTTCGTGCTAAGTTTCTTGCCCGAAACTCACGTTATTTCCCGCAGTTTATTAGCTTCGATCGAAGCTGCTCAGCCCAGACATGATCTCTGAGTGAGTCACCACACAGAATGCGTGTGTGGATCGAATTCCGAATCCAAACCGTAAACCCGAAGAATCGCTTACACTCATTCATGGCCAGACTGCCTTGACTTGGATTTGCAGTGAACACCTTCGGCCAAATTGGATCATTTATTGCCTGTTTTTCGAGCATTTAACGGCGTTAGCTGGCACTTGACTACTCTAAGCGGCTAAATGATGGAAATTAACTAAGCCGAGTGATGATTTTCGATCGTTTGATGGCTGCACTGTGAGGAATTGGAAGGCTGAATTCAGGAAGTTACATCTCTGGATCTTTGGGTTTATCTCAATCCACCTTCTTAAGAAGCTTTGATTCCACTTTAAATCTTAGTTGGTAACTCCTAGTCCGCTTTTCTGAGTGCACTTTTCCCGCTCTGTTCGTGCAACTCTACGGAACGGAACTCCGCTGCCAATGCTAACCCCTTGTTGGCCATCTTTGCTTTTTTGGGCGCTGCACTTTATGCAACCAGACAAACCCGTGGAAAGGGAGTGCTGCTCATTCCGAAGCTTTTTCAGCCTGTTTAGTCTTTTCAGCTTTTAGCGGGTGTGGCATGCAATTTGTATTTTAATTTGGCAATTCATTTTGGCCAAAAAAACGGGAGAAGAAACATATATATCTGCGGGTGATTTTGGCTCGGATTCGGATTCGGTTTTCAGTTTTCGGTTTTCAGTTTTCGGTTTTCTGCTTGTCTTACAGTCTTCGGCGGCCATTGACGTTTTCGAGAGGCAGTGAAGCGGCAATCAGGCAGTGGCTGGCTGCTAAAGAAACAAAAACTGCTAAATCGGCAGCCGCAATTGCAATAGCAACAAGCATATTATGGCCATATTATAGCCATGAAATGTAAAGTAAGTTTTGCATTGTTAAGTGGATGCGTCGTCGTCGTCGTCGTTGTTGTCTTCTCCTCTCGCAATAGCCGTGTTTCCCTCACATATATTTATAGCTTTTTTTCTGCATTGTTGACCTTTTTGAAAGAGAGATCGCGGCACCTCGCAGGTCTGACCTTTTGCATGCAAAAGTACAACAAATGCGAATACAATCATTCGGCGAGTCATTGCCACGCCAGCGTCGTGCCAGCATTGTGCATATTTAACCGTTGATTGACTGAGTGTCCGCATAAGTGACCAAGGTTAACGGTTGCCTGCAGGCCAAAATTTTGATCTGCTAGCCCCCTGTGGCGTATACTTGATTTTATCTAGCGTATACTTGATCTGTTTATGTGAGCAAAGGCATAGCTTTGGTGGTTCTGCAACAGACATTTTACTTATCAGAAGAACATTTCCAAGAGATCTCCTCAATATTCATCGTCTTTTGGCCAAATTTCTTGTAAAACTGAAATCCCACTGCGAGTTAATCACTATCATTATGCCCGCCAAAATAGTAAAAAGTAACCACTGCGAAGCCCTTAACTAAGTTTGCCAAATGCGTGAAATTGTTAACTTGACCTTGAATGCCTGCAATTGCCTTTGCCCCATGCCCCATGCCCCTTGCCCTGGAATCGGTTATTATCCTATTATTTCATGATTAGTTTTGACCATTTAACTTACATTTTGAGCAGCATTTTGAGCTGTGTTTTGTGGTTGTTGTTGTTGCTGTTGCTGTTGCTCCTAGGTTGCTCTCCTTGTTGTTGTTGTTGTTGTTGTCAATGCTGTTATAGCAACTTTTTCGTTAACTGCTTTTTTACATAAATTTTATTGACACTTTTTGAAAGTCAACTGCTTTGGCTTCGTTGGGGGGGGGAAACAGAAACAAAAAACAAGAAAAAAAAACAATAAAAAATGGATGTAAAAATAAATAAATAAATGACAGAAAATGATTTTTCGAAAAATCTTTAATTATGCACTTTGTGTGTGTTTTTTCTTCTATTTTTTATGTTTTTTTTTTTATTTAAATATTGGACACATTAGCTGGCTGATGTTGTTGTTGTTGTTGTTGGCTAGTTGCTCTTGTTGTTGTTGTTGTTTTTGTTGTTCACTTTGGTCATTTTTCGAGTTGCACTTTCACTTTTCACTTTTATTTTACGTGTTGTGTTGTTCACTATTTCGGCTTTGGCTGTTTGTTTTCCTTTTCATTCCATTCAGCAACAGAAAATCAAATCAATTAAGGAAATCAATTTAACAGTGCGGGAGTGTGTGTGCTGGTGTGTGTGTGTGCCCCCTCTGAGTGTTGTCAAAATTCTTCAAAAACTTACAAAAAATATTCAAAAAAAAAAAAAAAGAAAAGAAAAAGACCAGAAAATGCGTAACTCAAAGTGCACTTTTTGCGGCTTTTTCGAGCTCAAGTTCCGACTGGGCTTTGACTTCTTGAGCCGCTGACAACGCTTGTTTTATATGGCCAACCAACACACACACACACACACTCACAGACACACACACACAGTCCAACACACACACACACACACAGAGACGTGTGCCGGGAGGATATGCTGTCCGTACCATGGACTCTTTTTCTGAAGACCTATCTACTATATGTAGATATAGATGTATATATCTCGGGTCTTCGGGGAGCAGTCACTTTCGATTTCGCTGCCAGCTGAACGTGAAATGGCAAAATGATGAACGCTCCAACCATCGAAAACCGTTGCCGTTGCCATTCTGCCGCCGTCGGCCGAGGCAGCAGCGGTGGCCGCGGCAGAGGCTTCGACTTCAGCTACAGCTTCAGCTTCAGCTTCAGCTTTGGCTTTAACTTCAGCTTCGGCTTTAACATATCGGTAACATCGTGGATCGGGGATCGGTGATCGGTGATCGGTGATCGGGGGGTGCCTTTGGGGTCTTGACTGTGCGACAGAGAGAGCGAGCAAGAGCGAGAGCGAGAGGGAGTGATCGAGCGTGAAGGAGGAGTGCAGAACGAACGACAGGAGCGGTGTTTTACTTCGCTTAGCGGCTTTCGGCCATGTTAACACTAAATCATTCACACCTGCTGCCGATCGTTGTTGCTTTTCAATGGCGTTTGGCCACTAGGAAGTTCAATACTGCACTAGTTTCGGCGGCCCGAAGAGGGATCAGGCCAGAGCACATACACTTGAAGAAAAACTAGAGATTTGCTAGAAAGAGGTTTCCTTTTGCAGTTCTGATCGACAAGGGAATGGAAGGGATCTTCGAACTAAGGGTAGAGGCCAAACTTATACCCAAATCCCTTTCAGGGATAGTCAGGAATGAGCTGGGCTGATATCGATACATGAAACTGATACGGATATGCTTTTTATCAGCTTTGTAGTCTTTTTTCTTCGTGCAGCTGCGACATTCACTTGCATTTTTTGGGATGCTCTCTGGCCGCCTCGGTCTCAGCTAACTGCTGCTGATTTCATAAGCCAAAACTGGTTGGCAGCTGGTCTCAAGGCCGTTTGTTCGTTCGTTCATTCGTCGCAGTCGTCGCAGTCGTCGTCGTCGTCGTCGCTGTCGTTGATTAACCGCATTACACATACGCCGCGTTGGCCGCAGTGGCCGCTTTTTTAACCGCTTCGCCTGCAATTAGCAGGGCACGCAACATGCTCATATGCAAGCCAGCAGCAAGCGGCCAGCAGATCATCACCCCGGTTTCCCCCAGATGATATTATCCAATCTGTTGTGGGGCTTATTGATTAGCCGTTGCTCATTTGCTTACCGAGTATTTATGCAATTCCAACAGCGAGATCACAAGCTGGCCAATTGGATGGGCCAGATGTGGGTAGCTCGACTCTGACTTCGACTCTGACTCTGACTCCACCGAAAGGAGGGGCGAAAGACACCTGCGGACCAGAGCTCCCTGCCAGTGTCCAACTGACACCTTTTTTTCGTCGTCCAGGGTGATGTTGGGTATACCCGGCGGATACTTAATGAAACTAAGCAACCCATAACTACTTCCTAAGCTAGCTGTAGGGTATCATCCCTTATCCCTTATATGAATATTTCTTGGAATATCCATTTCCTAAACTTTTAAGAAGGGGTATTGGCTCGTCTACACACCCAAAAGAGGCATCTCAGCTGAGCTTCAGTTGCTCGGTTTCTCAGTTGCGGTTCGAGTTCGGTTTGGTAATCCCCACAAAGTGGTTAAAATCAACCTGTACAGTGTACACCGAAGACCAGCTCTGCTCCAGCTCCTCCTCGCCTCGCCTCCCTCTCTTCCACCCTGCTCCCTCGTTCCCTTTTTGATTTTGTTTACTTTGCAAGTGATTGATCAATCGGTTTTCTAATTAGCATTGATCGATAAACTGGAACGCTTGCTTTGCTTCTTTTTTCTGCCTGTGATTATGTGATAAATATTTGCAAGCCCCGAAAGGGGGCAAACAGAAACAGAAGAGGCGAGCCCAAGAGCTTCCTCCTTTGACGGGCGAGTGCAGCGAACCGGGAAGTGATCTTGAGGAGCAGCATATTCCTTATATGGTACGGCATGAGGGATCCTTTGGTGGCGTGGCCTTCGGGCAGCAGCTGCAGGGACTTCTTGAATTTCAAGTGATCGTCTTTTGAAAATCCCCCAAGTGAGTCAAGTCAAGCCCCGTCGAGGTCAGATTGATCAAGTTACCCGGGAAGGGGGCACATTGCTATGGATGCCATGCATGCCATGGATGGGGATGAGGATGGGGATGGGGATGGGGATGGGGATGGGCGGGCAAAGAAAAAACCCAACTCTTAATATAAAGAGCAGGTTTCGATCGGGGTAACAGGATGCATTTTTCTGGCATCACCGCATCGACGATCGAGGTCAGGAGCCGAAACACGCTCGTAATAAGTGCCCAGCTAGTGCTAATGAGCAGGGGGCGTGGCATGAGGGGTGTCTCAAGGACGTAGCCGGGAATGATAATTGCACTGGCCATCGGGCCAGATCAGGGAGTGAGCAATTTGGTAATTGCATAACGCAGAGAGAGAGAGTGAAGATGACAGCCAGATGACAGACAGGGGAGGGGCCGAAAGAGTAGCCAGGCTTGGGAAATTTACCAAAAAAAGTGAATCAAATTTGTGCTTTAATACCAAGAACTCCTTTTGAGAGGCCTTAAGCCACAAAAAACCCCGACCGATGACATCACAAAGTGGCTCAAAGTGCCTGTGGCTTTTGCCAATTCATGGGCCAAAAATATCCGGTACCCATTGGGCAGGAAGGAGAGCCCAGCAGGGAGATAAAGAGACTTCAGGTACCGACCGACCGGCTCTTTCTTCGCATTGTAAGAAACTCATAAAATTGTAATAAAAACAAAACCAGCCGCGGGGGGAAAAAGAAAGAAACAACAACTGTTATCCAACATTTCAAGTGTTCGTTCGAGAGTGTATATATATATCTGTACATATATCTATGCTATATATGTGGCCATATCTGCATACAGATGTACGCAAACAGGAGTGGCCAACTTGGAATGTTAATGCGGCCTGCAGTCGTTGGCGTCGCCGAGATCTCCGATCTCCGAGCCCCCAGTCCCCCAGTCCCCCAGTCCCTCAATCCCAAGTCCCCAATCCACTCCAAACAAACAAAAACCAAAAAACGACACTCGCACGTAGGCCCAGCCATCGCCTCGCCTCGCCTTCTCTCTTTCGCACACCATCTACCCGTCTCTTTCTCAGCGCTGTCCTCTGCCGTCTCTTTCGGCCTTTGGGAGTTACGTGAACTCTGAAGGGAGCCGAGGGCGATAACTGACCGGCAAACTGGACAAAAGCCAAAAGAATAAAGCACTCCTTAGGGTACACTCAGAGAAAAAGATTTCCCTTTGAAAGTTGAAGTTTAAGTTGAGACTTTGGCTAAGAAAGTAACTCAAAGATTTGTACTAGAAGTTTAGGATTTCTTTTGTGAAGTTTTCGTTAAAGATTTCTCTCAATGTATTTCGAGTCACTTTTTCTCAGTTTTTCTTATATTTTCAGCCTGGGCGCGCATGTTAGGCCAAGTAAAATTTATAACTGTCAATTATTATGCAAGAGCTGTGTGTGTGCTGTGCGGGGTAGGGGGCGTGGCAGAAGAGAGTGCTGGCAGAGCAATCAGGAAATACCCGAAGTATGCATGTATGTACCCCCCCAGCCAGCCAGGCACTCGCAGAGTCTGAACACGTATCACTCCCCCCGGATTAATACCCTTTTCAGCGGGCGGACACAGAACTTGGCTTTATCTTTTTGTTTATATGCTGCGGTTAATGAAAATATTTTTAATGCCTCGCCGCGGCCGCCGTTCTGGGCTTTATAGTTTCCCAACTTTTGAGGAGTGTCGCCCGGGGGTTCAACGTACGTCAATGGCTGGCCTTTGAAGACTCCGTACGCGGGACGTACGCCTTCTGTCAGGCGTGCTGAAAGGCAGGCCGAGCCGTAAACATCGTAAAGATGATGTTGTCGATCATCATCAAGATGATGGCTTCCACGTAGGCTGCAATTAAATGATTCACTTGGTCGGTCGCACTTGGACATTATTTCTCGATTCGCTGAGAACCTAAAACCGTTTTTTAGTTTCGACGACCTTCCAGCGATTTCCGGCTCATATCTATATAGTTTCTGGGCCGAGTGCCGTTTCACATGCATAAAATGAATAATGAAGCGCGAATCTGAAGTGCAACTTCATCGTCTTTTTGGCTTTGTGGGCAGAAAAAGTGGGTGGATGAGAGATTTCCTTATACGTCGAGTTATGGAAATCAAGCTGAGCATTTTAGCCAACTCAAAAGTTCAACGCATTTTGGAGCTGCTCTTGAGACTTGTTATAAGTCTTTCAGCGAAGACGATTGTAGTTTAGCTTTGAGATTCTGATTGATCGTGAAATGTCCATATGCCTAATATATATCCCAATTTGCTGGATCTTTGGCATTTCCCTGTCGAGTTTACATTCGAATTATAAGCCATTAAAGCGTGTCAATCTGTCGATCGACCCACCCATCCATCAATCAATCATGGCGCCATTGAAATTATGCAGCCAAGAGCGAAAAATTCCAAATCACATATCTTTGATTAAATTATGACTGACTGTGTCGTCTCGCCTCGCTGCTAGTTGTAAGGTTTAAATTCCGATTTTATTTCATTTTCATTTTCATTTTGCTTTTTGCTTTTTAGTTTTAGTTTTATTTCATTGCAATCATTTTGTGACCCACTTCGAAGTGCCTTTGGTCGCGCTCTTTGGGTGTTGTTGCTGCTGCTGCTGCTGCTCTGCGGCTTTTATTTTATTACGAAAATTTGTTTAATTTTAAACTGTTTAACTTGATTTAACTTAATTGAGTCACGAAGGCGACGCAGAGGCAGAGAAGCGGAGATCAAAGTGGAGATGCAGATAGAGATGGCGATCGAAGTGGTAACGCTGCCCGAAAGTTACATAAATTGGCATTAAAACGATTCAATAATCGAATGTCAGGGGGGGAGGGTTACGGGGCGTGGCAGAAGGGGGCGATCAGCAGAAGAGGGACAGCGGACAGCGGACAGAAACTCAAACCGAAAAGAAAAAACCTGAAGCAACCGAGACGAACCACCATTTGGCATTTGCATACAAGTGCCTGTACAGCGGGCACACTCGAGGGCAAGTTGCTAGGGGTAATGTCAAGGGTTTCCTTGTGAAATTTACAAAAAACAACGAAGGTTAGCTCTGGAGCTTAGGGTAAGAAATGGAAGATGTTAAGTTGGCTTTTAGGAAATATTCTAGAATTCTTTGGTTCATCAACTCTCTTAGGGACATATTTTAAGGAGGGAGTACTATTTAGTTGCCCTCAGGCGTACGTGTCTGGTGCGATCAGGTGAACATTAAACAACATGAGCTGCAAGTGACAGTCAGACCCCTTTTCGTTTTGTTATTGTTTTTTTTGTTTTTTCCAGACCCCGAGACCGAAAGGTGAACAACATTTTTTCGCCCCCCTTTCTCGCTATTTTCCCCCCCCCTCCTCGCGCCTTTCTGTTCACCTTTCTCGATCCGTTTTTCGATGGCATTTAACACTTTGACATTAGTGTTGCCACAGCACAGCAAGCACTCTGTGATCAGTGATCATTGATCATTGGGCCGGGGAGTGTGCCGCCGCCTCACAACCTCACAACTTCATTAAATATTTTGCCAGCTTGCCATTTTGCATGGCAAACGACTTGGTCTATTTTTTATGATCCAACTTAATGGGCGGCTAAAGCGCAAAAGCGCTCAAGGTTAAGCCTTAAGCCCAAAAGCGACTCTATATGGTAACTAACTAGTTGGACTAGATTCGGACTCGGATCCGGTATCGGAACTCTGTTCTCTCCCTCCAGGGAGGAGGATTCAAGAATGACCGATGAGTAAGCTTCGCTCTGCTTCGCTCTGCTTCGATTCGGATGCGGACTTCGATTGGCTTATAGAGATTGCAATCATGATCGCGGCGATCGCGTCGTGTTCGTGATCTACTTGTCAACACCTACACACGCCTTGGGATCTCTGAGTGCCTCGAGTGGTTCCGGTTCGACTTCAGTGTTGTTGTTGTTGTTGTTGTTGCTTTCGCTGCACAGCGAGAAAAGATGTTTGGTTTTATTTCCCATAAATTGGATTTAAATAGAGATAGTTTTGGGTATGAAGACTCTGATTAGGGAAACTAACACCTTAGGCTGGGCTTAAGTTAGTTTTTTTGTGTAGAAAAAATCAAAACAACAGGTTGAGCTTTCTTCAGGTGTAGGCTTAAGTGATCAACGATCGGCGCGGATCCAGTTATGCATTTGGCGTGCGGGGCACAACACTGATAACTAATTATGCGACCGCTCTCTGACGTAAGGCCCCGAAATGAAGGGCACTAAAGGCGATCGCAGCGGAGAGAGTGATCGATTTGGTTCGGATCGGATCGAAGCGAAGCGAAGCGGCTTGGATGGATTGTCGGGGCAAAGAAAGTGACATCTAATTGCGATGAAAGCGGTGATGGCGATTAGGGATAACCCAGTGTCGCATAACAAGTGAAAAGATAACTGCGATTAACGCTTGACGATTAACGATTAACGATTAACGATTAACGATTAGCGATCACTGATCACCAATTAGCGATTAACAATCAACGCTGATCGCTATCACTCAGATTTCCCAACGGACGTTTATGGCCCGTCATTTCCCCGAAGAAATCGGAATCTGCTGAATGCCCGAGACCAGCCCAATGTCAAGACCACTCTCATCCTCGATCCGCCAACCTGACTTTGGTTTACGAGCAGAGTGTCTTCCTCCCAGCAGACAATGGCTCACTGTCACTTGTTGGCTGATTAGAAAACTCGTTGTAAAAGGCGGTAACTACTTTCATTACCGTCTCCTCTCGGTTGAACAATCTTCCGAGTGGGTTTTCTTTTTCAAAACACAGTGGTAAACCCACATTTATGGCCTATTATTTCATATAGTAGATAGAGCAGCTATATGGTCCCAATAAATCTGGGTATCAGCGTGGCAAATGGCAAGCCATCTTGGCCAGAAATCACAAATATTTCCGGTCGAGCATGCCATCGAAAAGCCACAGATACCAGAATCTCCCAAGTTTGTCTCGAGTTGAGTTCCACTAAGAACGGGTTATCATCGCTGAATATGCTTTTGTGGACATTTTTATGTCGTTAAATTATTTCACACTTTTGATTTTTTCTTACTAAATATTTATGAAGCTCTGACGTAGAGTTTTTAATTTATGCAACGAATATTTTTTAATATTCCCATTAGGTATTTCGTGGCAAAGGCAGAAGTAGAAGGCAAGGCAGTATTTCTGCAGAATTTTGGTATCAGGGGATTTTCGGGGGTTTTCTTCACTGTTTTTTTTAACCATTTAAGCCCCCTCCTGGTCAGCGATTTGATCAGCTGCGGAATGAATTTTAAGTTTTACCTCTATGCCTTGGAATTTCGGGCGATTCGTCAAACAACCAAAAACAACACTCCACTTTTTTTGCACTCTTTTGGCACTTTCCAAACGCGAACTGTAAATCGAACTTCAAATCTTATGAAAACTGCAAAAAAATATTCAAAATAAATTGAAATCGAGGGTTCTCCTTGACTGCAGGGATGCACCCTCTCCGTTTTTCCTGCCACCGCGTTGAACGCGTCCAATTACCTCTGCAGACTTTCCGTTAATGTTTCGAATTTCGAAAAACTGACGGCAGAAAAGCCAAAAACAAAAAAGCAAACAACAAAAGGAAAACAAGAGAGAAAAGCGCCGCGTTCATAGTCGAAGTCTTTGATACCCTATAACTTTGAAGGTGTCTAACGTTTTCCGATCGAAATGGACCCTAATTCAGAATGGGTATTACCAGAAAAAAAGACAGGAGAATGGGACACACTGCAGCTGGAGAATGGAGAATGGAGGAGTCTCTGCACCCGTCTCTTTCTCCGCTAGTAGCCCCGTCTCTTTCTGGGCCATGGTGTGGGTGCAGTCTGGCATGCAATGTAAAGGCAATCGCCCAGGTCTAGTGACTGGAATCGAATTGGTAGAAAAACGAATAAAATCCAGTCAAAAAAAGGCACTGAGAGAAATATTTGCGTGGTCTTTGGGTTAGAGAGTTTCCATGTTTGCCGGGTTTTTCCCAGTGCAGAAAAGTGTTGCCCGAGTCGCGACCAGAATCGCTGATGTTGTAATTGTTGCAACTGGCAACTGTCGCATGAATGTTGCATGTTGCTGGCTAGGCAGTTGCAGTTGTTGCCTCGCCGTTACTTCAGAGGTTTTTATTACCCGATTTGATATGCGGATCTCGTGTTTAGCAGTCAGCAATCTCTGCTTTCGTGTTTCTCTTATTTTCGAGGGTATGCAGAAATCGGATCTGCCTGATCCTATTGGTATTGGTATTTATCGTGCAGCCATGGCAGGCAGGCTTGGCTCATGAGTCACGGGACTTGATCGATTGAACGAGTGAGCCGCGCTCGTCAATGTCTATGGCAATGTTAATGGACTTGTAAGCGGCAGGAAAAGTGTCCACTGTGCTGGTGAGAAGGGGAGTGGGGGATAGAAATGCCTAAACTGGTTTACTTTATTGGCTTATACAACGGAGTGGCAGTTAAATGTCAACGGGAATTCGGACTGCAAACGATTTCCTTGAAAAAAAACAGCTCAGCGAGATAAGTTTAAAGAGAAAGATTTATTCTTTTGTTAGGTAAACTTTAATGGGAAATCATTTTTAACGGTTTCAATATAAAGAAAAATATATATTTTTACCTTTTACTCTAGCTTAATATTAGCTGTGAAGTTTTTCGGTTTTTGTTTTTGAATTTTAACATTCGAAATCGCAAAACTTGCTGCTGAAAGCAGTTGGCAAGCAGTTCATGGTTGGTGTCCCAGCTAAGTGATGGTTCCACCACTGACCGCATGCCAAGGCGAGGCGCCACAGTGGCTTGGCGCCAAGTTTTTCGAATTAAGCTTAACTTTATTCTTTTTCGCGTTGTTTTGCACTAATTTAGTGCTGTCAAACGGAAAAATTCAAATTGCAAGCTTTGGCGGTGAATTACGAAAGTGTTTTCCAATGATTCAAGATTTTCAAGTTTCTACAAAAATGAAAAGAAAATCATTTTTCATCGATCAATGATCATGATAAGATCGGCATTTGTTTAATTGAACGTTATCATTGGCAGGACCTTATCGCACGGCCGTGTATTTATCATATTAATTGATCGGCTCCCGCGAATTGCAGTCCACTTTGCCGTTAATCGATTGCATCTCCCCATAGCCATCATTAATTTCCCCGCCGTTATCGTTCATATTTCACGCGATTGCGAAAAGGATTTTCGTAAGCTGAGAAATTATGGCACAGCGTCAGTCGGGGGATTCCGGTTGCATTTCCACTGGCAGTTTGATTTTCTATCGAAGTAATCATAAGATTTCTCCCCCCTTAAGAGTTTTCTCTCCGTGTGCCACCCAAATTGGTGTCTTATAACCTGACTAGAGCCATAAATCTCGGGAGTTAGCACTGGCTCCGTGTCCGTAGGGCAGACAAGTAACAAATGGCTGTCTCGAGGTACACGGATTCATGTCAACCCATTGGTCATGGCCCAGGGGAAGACAATTGCAACGCGGCGTCAAAACTTGTCTGGCCAATCACAGCCCAAAAAAACTATCTTTTTAATGACAGCCCGAAAAGAGTTGCAGAAAAAAGAAATGGGGCGGGGAGAGATGAGGGAAATGCATTTGCCGCGCCTGGAGCAGGAAGTCGAGGCTGCAGATCGACTCCGTCTCGAAATCCAGGCTCAAACTCAGACATCGACATCGGCGACAACTGCGAAGAGTGCGTAATTGCTTTTTAAGCCTGATTTCTGAGGCACGCCCTGGTGGCCCCCCCCTCAATCTCAGCCTCAATCTCAATCTCAATCCGAAAAGGAAAAACAAAAAATGAAAATGCCTTACTATTAGCGCTAAAAGCTGAGCTCCAAAACTGTGAGATTACGGCGCCTTGGCGGAAGAGATGTCGCCTTGTCGTTGGCCAAGTAAGTACCCCAAAAGATACATGATGCAGCCAGCCCGCCCGTCGTCGCCCACGTATGAAAACAAGCCAGAGTGCTGGCAAAGGGAAAGTCATGATCCGGCAGGAAGTACTGTACTCTAACTTGGGTAACCTTCTTTTCATAAGGGAACCCTACTTTGTAGTCAAGAAACCGAAGACTTTCAAGCGTCTTGAAACTAGTCCAAGTCCGACATGGCAATGGGCTGTCGAATATGGAGCGTGTAATCAGCGTGAAAACTTAACGCGTCGGAAAACACAACTTCGCGGCCTCAGAGCAAGCGGCAAGCGGCGAGATAATCGTCGATAAAACCCATTGGGCTGGCACATCTGGCCGTCGATCCATTAATTAGCCAACTCCATCTCGTTATGGCCATCGATTTTGAGCGATGTTCGAGCATTATCTTATGCAAAAGTTTCGCAGGCCTGTTAACTTGTCCCTTTCGGCATGTTTGCTTTTCTAACGCGAATTGCGTGTTTTGGTTTTAACGCAAATGTCAAGACTAATCACGGTTAGGGCCTGTTGGGGCTTAGGGCTTTGAAGATTGATCTGCGTTGGGAGAAAGGCTCGAGCTTGGAATTAATGGCCATGTTAAGGGATTTTGAAATTACAACTTCCTGGGGGCATATTTTTGAAATGTTTTGGGAAATTTTTGATAGCCTGTTGGCTGGCTTGTGAAAGGGCGTCTTTCCTTGCCAAAATCAAAGCCTGAAAAGTTTATATTTTCAAAATGTTTAAGCAATATGATGACTCTTTAGAAATATATCTAATATCTGTCTTTTGGCCAAGTCAAGAAGTGGCAAAGTTGCTGGGAATCTTGCATCTGTCCTTACCCAGCAAGGTTTCTCCTGGAAGCTGCCGCCTCACGTGCTGACCCCTCGGAGGCGGCAGGCTTTGGGAAGCGGTAGCCGCGAGCGGCAGCCAAAACAGTTGTACAACATTTACCGGTTTATGGGGCACGCAGCTAAACAAACGACAAAAACAAAAAGAAAACCCAAACAACAACGAAAAAAGCAGCCCAACAGCTGATCCAGCTCTCTTGATATCCATCAGCCTCTCTTACTCGCTGCCCGCTCTCTTTCTCTCTCTCTCTCTCTCTCTGTCTCTGTCTCTGCCTTCGGTTTGGGCCGCTTGTAATGCGCTGGCTTAAAAGTTAACGACTGCGCAGGCGCGCCGCTCAGATCGTTGATGGCGTTCGCAGCGACCGCTTGGCATACGTCGCGTTTTTAGCCGCCAGCGCGATTTAAACCGCCAACCAACCGCCGAAGTGCGTTTTTTTTTCACACACCGCTCTTAACCCCTGTAAGCCCCCCAATCGAGTGTGTGTGTTCGGATGTGTGTGTGTGTTTGCCATTATTTAGGAAGTGTGCTGGCTGGCTTGATTACCATTAAACTTAACAACTATAAAGCCATAAAGCCAAACAGCCTTTCAGCCATTCACACCTACAAAAACAGCGAACTTAAATCCTGGGCTGCTGCTACGCCTCCGTTTCCATTTTCATGAAAAGCTTAACTTGGTTTTTTTTTACGTTTTTACGTTTTTTGTTTTTTGTTTTTTGTTGAAGTGCCCATTTCCGCATTTAGAAAAAGTGCTCGAAGTAATTACCACTCGAAACTCTAACGAAATGCAAATTAATTACGAATAATCGAAAGAAATCATTTTGCTATTTGGATTATAACTGCCTCTGAGTGTGTGTGTGTGTGTGTGTGTGTGTGTATTGCGGTTCCGCGCTAATAGTTTCCTGCATAACAACAACAACAACAACAACAACAAGAGCGATTACAATAATATTAATGAAAACAACAACTTTTGGCCAACAAGCTAAGCTGGCCAAATAAAATTGTTGCGAAAGTGTTTCTTTTTTTTTTTTTTTTGAAGTTTTTTGTTGTGTTTTTGTTTTGCGTTGCATGTGGCAGGCAGGCAGGCAGGCAGGCAGGCAGGCAGGCAAAGGCAGCTGCCGCCGCTGCAAGTTAACTTGTTGCTGCCGTCGCTGCTACCTAACAAAATAAATTTTATTTTTATGACTTTTATGCGAAGCCGATAAGATGACAGCCATAACAACAACAATAACACCAGGCAGCAGCGGCGGCTGCAACTGCAACACAAACAGCACACACAATACCCCCAAGTTGGGTTGAATCGAAGCTGGCTTGCTCTTCATAGCTGGGCATTACTGTAGTTTACTCTTCTGGAAATCTCATCAATTTCCATCAACTTTCTTAGTTTTACCCAGCAATAACTTTAACTCAACGAAAACTCTTCTTTCTGTGCATTTCTGCATCCATCTCGATAGTCTTCGATAGAGTATCTCTCTGTCAGCAAGCTGGAGTGCGTGACCCCGCAGCCTGTCTCTGTGTGAGTGCGATTGTATCTATGCATCGCCATAGTGGCCAGTTTTGCTCTTGGACGACGGAAAGGCAGCCAGCTTTTGAGCCTGATCCCAGCCAAATCCACTTGAATGCCCGAAAGTGAAATTTCACTTTGCAGTTGCTGTGGCCTTTCGGCAGCTAGTTGTTGTTGTTGTTGTTCAGGCGGCTCTTTGATTAACTTAATACGAGCAACCATTGTTAGTTAGTTAGTGACTTGGGGCTGAAGCAAGTGAAGTTTCTCTTTGAATAATCCGAATTCTACCGAACGATCAAGGCAAACACACACATAGAAAAGATGGCAGCCTTCAGAATTAGCAGCCAAATCTGCAGGAGTAGCAGACTGAAAGGAAAGGAGGGGAGGAAAACCAACCAAAACCAAATCAGCAGAGGAGGAGGAGGTGGAGGAGGATTAGCACTGAGTCACTTAGTGATCTGCAGCTGGCTGGCCATCATCTCCATGGCGTCTGTAACCATGGCCAAGCCACCGGATCAGGAAGCCATCCATCACAAAATGGGTAAGTTAAAGGCTGTGTGTATCTGTGACTTAATTAGCTAGCTGTGAAAGTGAAACTAAAGCTAAAACTCAAACTGAAACTCAAACTGAAACTGAAACTGAAACTGAGAATTATGGGGCTCGAAGTCATCAACCGGCGGCCAATGGCCAAGACTCTCGGGCTGGGGATCAAGTTGAGCAGCTGCTGATGGCTTTGATTTGTGGCAGCAGCGCTTTCACTTTGCCAGCCTTTGTTTTGCTCTTGCTCTGGCTCTAGCTCTTGCTCTGTTAAAGAGTGTATGGAGCTAGACATGGGGGCCAGTTTCTATCCCTAAGAAAGCCAAGCTGCAGGTTAATTCTATCAGCAGATGTGGCTCTTTGCGCTGCGCTTACAAAATATCAATTAAAAGGTGAAAAATCTCAGCTGGAGTTGCTAATTTGTCGGTGGCAGAGCGTTGGGTGTTGAGTAAGCCGTCTAACAAAAGGCGAAAAGAAAGCCAAACAAATTAATCAGCAGAAACGAACATGAAAAAGGCAGAGAGAGGGGGGCTGAAACTGAGAGGGGGGATCAAGCCACCAGTTCCAAAAAAAAAAGAAAAAGAAAACAATGCAAAAGACATTTTCCCAGACATTTCTCGCCGCTCTTACGACATCTTCGGCAATTACTGGAAGAGTTGAATCTCCCCGTGGACTGGAGATTGAAGATCGAAAAAAGGGGAAAGGGTGGTGGGGAAGGGGGTAAGAGAGTAGGGTAAAAGGGGACAAGAGACCCACAGACCGCATTTTCCACTTGCTTCCGTATGCTGGGTTAATTTTCCTTTGTTACATGGCAAGACAACTCCATTTGGTCGCGTCGTTCATCTGCCTTTTCCCAACTACCAAGCTGTCCCTCTCTGTCTCTATCTCTCTCTCTCTCTCTCTCTGTATCTCTGTGTCATTATGTCAATGCAGCCTGTACCATTTACCAATTACCATGCACTCTTTCCCTCTTCACGAAACCAAAGACATTTCCCAGTGACATTTTCCTGGCCACAAAGACAATGCCAAAGAAGTAGCAATGAAAGGGACTCAAAATATTTGAATGCTGTTTTGATCTGTTGGGATTGCCTTTCATTTACCCAGCTATATATATATGTATATATCTTCTTGAGATAACAATATCTTTAAGGTGGAGATGTGTCTCAATATTTAGCAACTCATTGGGCCAAAGTCAGAAACCACAGATTGCATCACGACCGCAGCAGCTACCTTGTGACAATTTCCCAGGCCCTGAGTTGAGTATATGCTATATGGCTTGTCAAAGAGATATCTGAACAATCGGCCCACTGATGATGACGCCCCCAATTTGGGCCACAGATCTTAGCCAGCCAGCCCGTCTTATAGCCGAACCGAACCGTATAATGATCCGATCCGAGGAAACGAGGCGGTAAAATGCAACCGGGGCGAACAACAATTGCCATTCATTTGCACAATGAATGAAATTTAATGAGCGCAGCTCGCATAATACAAATAATAAGTACGCCAAATAATGGGTGAAAAGGCCCCTCGAAATATGAAAAATACGAAAAATACGAAAAAAAAACACAAAAGTACATGTTCAAAAATTAAAACCCAAAATGAGTTGAAGCAAACAAACAAATCTTGGCCATAACGTAATGGCCAGGTGTAGCAAAAAAGCCATTGCGGCATGCAACTTCGTTTTTTTTTTTTACATATTTACTCATATTTATTTATGGCCGAATTCATGTCCGTCTACTACTATTTCGCTTGTACAACCCACCAAGTTTTGGATGGTTTTTGACCAAAATTAGTTCTTCCTTTCATGCGTGGCTGCCACTCGCAGTCTGATACCATTTCAAGTGTTAAGAGGGAGTGTTAAGGAAGGCAGATTTCGAGTATTTTGAATATATTTTTGAGCTTTTTTTTTACCTATAACAGCCTAAAGAACGAATGTTTTGTGCAGCTTAAAAGCTAAACAAACTTTCTGTATCATTTTTGGGGTGATTTTCGAAAAATCAAATTTTAGTAAAATTTTGCATTTTTTTTAAGGGGTCTAAATTGGCGAAAAATGGATTAAAATTTACTTTTTGAGGTGTGAACACAGTTCGAAGGGAAATTTAATAACGAATTCAACAATGTATGACATTCCATATTCCGACAATTATTGGCTTTGTCATGAAAAGAATTCTGATTACTTTTGAGCTAAAATCAGGATTTTGAGTTTCGACAGAAAATGGCACTAATTTCATCGGATTTATGCCTATAACTTAGCCAAAACAAGGCTCAGAGCTAAAGTAAAGACTGTTTTGAGCAGCTAACGACCTAAATAAACTTTCCTCATCATTCGATTGATGATTTTGTGGATTTAAATTTTTAACAATTTTAAGGGGTTTGTAAGGGGTAACATCATCAAAATTTGCAAAAAATTGAAAGGTATTTACGTTTCAAGGTGGGGACACAGTTTTGATGGAAATCAAATTACGAGCTCAACGAGATATTACATTCCATATTTGGCCCATTATTGCCTGAGTTATGGGAATAATAATGTGTCTTGAGGAGAGAAATGAGATAAACCGATTTTCACATTTTCTGTAAGGGGTAACATCATCAAAATTTGAGAAAATCAACAAAAATTTGACATTTTGAGGTGGGGACACAGTTCGATTGGAATTTTAATTACGAGTTCATCGGTGTATGACATTCTACAATCCGACAATTATTGGCTTTGTTATAAGAAGAATTCTTCTTATTTTGGGCCAAAAATCCGGATTATGCATTTCGACAGAATATTATCAGAGTTTTTGTCGGATTTATAGCTATAACTTGGTCAATTGAAGGCTTAGAGCTAAAATGAAGACAGTTTTGAGCAGCTTTCGACCAAAACTAACTTTCCTCATCATTGGTTTGACTGATTTGGGAAATTTAATTTTGGGCAAATTTTGCATTTTCGATAAGGGGTACCATCATTAAAATTTTCAAAAAATGTCAAAAAATTAAGTTTCCCAGATTTGAATGCAAATCAATTGGGAGTCAAAGCAATCAAATTACGAGCCGTACGAGGTATTACATTCCAGATTTGGACCATTTTTGGCTAAGCTATGGCTAAAAAACTGATTTTATTGCGCCAAAAATCAAGTAAACGTCTTTTGGCAGCAGATATCCCTGTTTGGTTGCCGTTTCTTAGCTCTAACTTTGTCAAAACAAGACGCACGGCTAAAACAATGACTGTTTTATGCAGATAACTACCGAAACTTAACATCCTTATACTGGCTTTTATCATTATTGTTCTGATTTTTTGGTGCGAGCTCTGTTTTAAGGGCTGAAATATCGGGAAATCGATTTTAAGCACAAATTTGCAATATTCATTTCGGTTTTTTAGCTCTAACTCGGTCAAAATAAGACGCACAGCCGAAAGAACGACTGTTTTGTGCTGCTAACGACCACCACTTACCACCCCTATCACTCGATTTTCGATTTTGAGAAAATCGTTTTTCGGCCAAATTTCGCATTTTCGATAAGGGGTAACATCGTCAAAATTTATGAAAAATGGCTAAATTTGTACTTTTCAAGGTGGGGACACAGTTTTGTTGGAAATTAAATTACGAGCTTAACGAGGTATTACTTTCCATAATCGGACCTTATTGGCCAAGATATGAGCAAAATACTGATCTTTTGGGAGAGAAAAAGGGAGAAACCGAAACTCGCATTCCCGATAAGGGGTAACATCATCAAAATTTCAGAAAAACATGCAAAATTGAACTTTTCAAGGTGGGGATACAGTTTTGATGGAATTTTGATAACAAATTTATGGATGTATGACATTCCGAATTCGGACCATTATTGGCTGAGTTATGAGAATAAAACTGACATATTGAGGGGTAAATCGGGTTAAACGGAATCTCGCATTCTCGATAAGGGGCAACATCATTCAAATTTTCAAAACATTGCCAAAAATTTGACATTTCAAACTGTAAATACGGCAATCTTAGGAATTAAAAAACAAACTCAGCGAGATATAAACTTCAATGTTCTGACCATTATTGGCTAAGTTATGGACGAAATACTGACTTTTTAGGGGAACATAATTTTGCGTGTTTTGGGAGTAGGACAGAGATTCAAGGAGTCCCCATTTCTCGCTGTGTAGTCATGACATGAGTACAAAATTCGATTTATTATTTGCAAAATTCACTTCGATCAACGATCGACGCGGAGGAGGAGGACTGAAATCGGGAGATGTGGTCACGTCGACTCCCTGACTTTGTGTCTTCATCCTCTCCTGTTGCTGGCTTCTGCTGCCACCGGATTTTGCTACCAACTTTGGTTTTCGGTTCATGTTTTTTTCTTCAAGCAGCCTGTGGGCGTTGTGGTGGGCGTTTTTCGTGCTGGTTTTTTGCGGTTGACAGAAGATTGAATGAAGGAGGGGGCCAATATGATCAATCGAAATGGGAAAATTGATTGAGGTGCTTTTTAAGAGGAAAATGTGGCAAGCTGATTGCTGTGGGAAAATGTGTTGGCAAAAGGAAATGGGGTGTTCCTGCACTTCTGTGTTAATCAGATCATCAAACTTGATTACTATTCTTAATTGAGAATATAAAAACTACAATTTTTACCAGAAGAATCAAGGAAAGAGATTCTTAATGAGGAAACTTAACCTGAGATTACTTTTGATACTCAATTTACCTGATTGATAACCAGAAGGGAAACACAATCAAATGACCTTTTGCATGTTGAATATGCATTTGCTTTGCTTTTTAGACAGTTTGATCTAGCAGGGGACTCCCCGTTTGGGTTGCGGTTTTCTTGATCGATTTTTCGCTTTAATTTTGGGGGATTTTCTCTCCTGCCCTGCCCCATTGCCGTGAAGGCGTTTCTTCGCCAGCAATTAACATCTTGAACTTTGACCAAAGTACACAAAAATCGGAACAAAGCCCGCAATTCGTTTAGCTTTAGTTTCGATGCCGTTTGTTGTCTTTGTTTCGGCCGGGCTTTGTGCTTAGCGGCTGTTAAACTTAAATGCTGAGT